GGGTTATCCAATCTCTTCTTAAAAGGCTTCAGGGATGGAACACCCACAACTTCTGGTGGCAGGCGGTTCCACTGGTTTAATTGTTCTAAATTTCTCCTTAGTTCCAGGTTGCTTCTCTCCTTGATTAGTTTCCATCCGTTGCTTCTTGTCCTGCCTTCTGGTGCTTTGGAGAATAGGGGGACCCCCCCTCTTCTTTGGGGCAGCCCCTCAAATACTGGAACGCTGCTATCATGTCACCCCTAGTCCTTCTTTTCATTAGAATAGAATAGAGCTGGGAGGGACCTTGGAGGTCTTCTAGTCCAGCCCCCTGCTCAAGCAGGAGAACCTATACCATCTCAGACAAGTGACTGTCTAGCCTCTTCTTAAAAATCTTCAGTGATGAAGCACCCACGATTTCTGGTGGCAAGCTGTTCCACTGGTTAATTGTCCTCACTGTCAGGAAGTTTCTCCTTAATTCCAGGTTACATTTCTCTCTTATCAAGTTTCCAACCATTGTTTCTTGTTCTGCCCTCTGGTGCTTTGGAGAATAGCTTGACTCCCTCTTCTTTGGGGCAGCCCCTGAGATATTGAAACACTGCTATCCTGTCCCCCCTCGTCCTCTTTAATGACATCCCCAATTCCAGCAACCGTTCCTTATATGTTTTAGCCTCCAGTCCCCTGATCCTCTTTGTTACTCTTTCCAGAGTCTCGACCTCTTTTTTACATCCTGGTGACCACAACTACTACTTTGGGGCAGCCCCTCAAATACTGGAACGCTGCTATCACAATATCCCAGTCCTTTTCTTCCTTAGATTAGACATCCCCAAATTCCCTCCACAATTCATACATGTCCATGGAGATTCTCCTCCGTCATCCAGCTTGTGGCTGTCCCAAAGGTGCTTTTTCAGGAGGCAACGGGACTTTCTTGTTTTTATAATAGTAGTAACAACAGGGTTGGAAGAGACCTTGGAGGTCTTCTAGTCCAGCCCCCTGCTCAGGCAGGAAACCTTGTGCCCTTTTCTTTGACGACGTTTCGATTCTCCTCCAAAAAGCTTCTTCAGCTCTGGCTGGACGGTGGGGAATGGAAGTCAGAGCCGAAGAAGCTTCTTGGAGGAGAAGCGAAACGCCTTCAAAGAAAAATAAGATCCAATTCCTTCCTGGGGGGGGAAAAAAAAGCACCTTTGGGAGCTTATCGTACAGTTTAGCCTCCAGACTCTATATCGGGTCTTCAAACTTGGCCCTTTGATGACTTGTGGACTTCACGCTGGCTGAGGGATTCTGGGAGTTGAAGTCCACAAGTCATCAAAGGGTCCTTGTTCCCTCACGCTGGCTGAGGAATTCTGGGAGTTGGAGTCCACCAGTCACCAAAGGGTCCTAGTTCCCTCACGCTGGCTGAGGAATTCTGGGAGTTGAAGTCCACAAGTCATCAAAGGGTCCTAGTTCCCTCACGCTGGCTGAGGAATTCTGGGAGTTGGAGTCCACCAGTTATCAAAGGGTCCTAGTTCCCTCACGCTGGCTGAGGGATTCTGGGAGTTGAAGTCCACAAGTCATCAAAGGGTCCTTGTTCCCTCACGCTGGTTGAGGAATTCTGGGAGTTGGAGTCCACCAGTTATCAAAGGGTCCTAGTTCCCTCACGCTGGCTGAGGGATTCTGGGAGTTGAAGTCCACAAGTCATCAAAGGGTCCTAGTTCCCTCACGCTGGCTGAGG